ACAGCAGAGTTCATGAAACTTTTATACTATAACGACACCCTGGCTATACCAGCTCTCAAACTTTTAGACCTATCTTTTTGCCTGTAGGAATGCTATATTGTTAAATCTACCGAAAAGATGCGACTCGAGAAAGAGCAGTGATAGCTTCAAGAGTTAAATAAATGGCTAGTAAGCGATAGCGACATCTTTCTATAGCTCTTCAAGAAGTAGACATTGATACTGTCTGATTAAAAGCGAGTAGTTCAAGCTCTTTGTAATAGCGTGGTTTTATCATTGTAAGCGAACGAGACTTAAGCTTACTATGCTAATAGGCATTGATAAAGTCTCATTGTTGTTTAGCGCTCGTGGGCGACAATAATATCTGCATAGCTTTGCTATCTATTTACCTTCTGTCCTGAATATCATCCCTGTTTTAACGGCCCAAATAACCACTGGTGAAGTTCTATTGGGTTTGGTGATGGGGTGTTAACGTTTCATGGCTGTTGATAGACCAGGCGTTTGGTTTTTAACATGTTAGCATCTGGCTATTAAGTCCTCCTAATTTCTGATAAACTTGTGTGATCAAGATAAATAAATAATTTGTCTAGCCTGCGGTATTCTGCTGCTCCTAGCCCTTGCTAAATTGTTACTTTTTATATTTAGGTATTTTCTTATCTACCTTTGACGGCGAGCCTTGAACTAAAATGCACGAATCAAACAAAAATGGTCTGTACCTGTTGCTTCAATGGTTGTTTTGTGCTAATGTTGGTAGACTGTGATTTGGAACTCGACCTCCACGCCATCTGGTATGAGTACTCTGGTATATCGATATCACCTCCCTGTCTCGCTACTGAATGCGATAATTCTCGGCAAATTTTCTCGGATGTGGGTGAGCCTTCAGGATATGAGACTATAGGGTCTTTTTTGATCGAATGTCTTTTTCATCCTACTTACGACAAGCTGTTAGCCTTCAAGTGGACTGGTCTAGACCCTCTGTCTATGTCTACCCAGGCTAGCGACTTGTTCCTCTATATGTTAGCTTTCACTTTCTCTAACGAAGTGTACTGGGTAGAGTTTCGACTAGTCCGTTTCGACTGGAAATCTGGTGAGAGTATATGAGAGCATCTGTTCTTCCTACCCCGAGCCGAGACGGCCCCGTATAATCTCCGTCGGGTACGCGGATAGTGGCTAGATACGATCTCCCGATATGGTATTGGTACAATAGGTACTAGAATCTGTCTGTCCCTTTGGTCTCGTATGTAACCCTTGCCATATCCTACTTATTTGATACTTCCTTCGCTAGTTGCGCTTTCTATGAAGGTATCCTTTGATTTAATTCTTTTGTGCATAATATAATGGGAAACTACAAGTGAGATTGGACCATTATGTGTTTGTTGTTATTCAACATTTTCCAGTGATACTAAATCAAATTGGAGGCTATTCCATGCATTTTACAAGTACTCCGATATATAGGATCTTTTGTAAGCAGTAGATCTGCTTTATTTGGAAACTCTATTATAGTATTCCTATGCGAAAGTAGGGCAGATCACCTCTACTATTCGATGTTTCACTCTTGTCTTCCGTTGTCCAAGAACCCTGCCAATTTGAGTCTCGAGGGGTGATTCCAATCATCTAGTACGCCAACCAGCCTCTGCTGAGACAATTCAAATGCCTGTTTAAGATAGCGAAGCTGGGATAGCTGCTTGTCGTAGCGAACCTGAAAGCCATCCCTCTTGCGTCTCAGGTACGTGCCAGCCTCCTCCAAGACGAGGTTTTCCTGCTCTAGCTTCTGACCATCGATGTGCTTGGACACGCATGACTCCCACAGGCGTCGATATAGTCCAACAAGTCGAGCTGCTGGAAATGTCAACTTGGGATCATCGCGCTCGAGGTCTGCTAGAGCCTTCAAGATTGGCTGAAATGGTTCGGTCGCCAGGGCGTGTCTTGGTCCTGCTCCCTGTTGCGAAGGGGAGGGCTTCAATCGTTAGCAAAAGCTTTTGAAGCCGAACCTTCTCACTTACCGATGGAGGGACTTTATTAGAAGTATCCTGTGGCTTTTCTTTTTCGCTAAGGATTCGCAAATCACTGGGCTGCTGATCTCCTTCATTCGCCTGGTTTGCGGAGCTGTTTAGTGCGTCCATCTTCCTTTCGGGAAAAAGTCAGGGGTGTGAACAATATCACTCCCACCAGGCCTGTGTGCCTCTTATATACTACGTGGACGCAGGTGTGTTTATGGACTGGGTTTACAATCACCACAACGGTCAATAAAAATACTCTATTTCTGAATAGGATTTTTTCGTTTTTCGGTGCGCTGCTGACAGTGGATTCAGTAATAAGCACAGTGGTCAATGAGTCGGTCGGGAGAATAGTCTAGCCTCACAATGGTGAGGGCCAGGGATCAACGAATTTTGAGGATATGTTTGATAAATCACCTCTTTCCATTTCGTTGAACGCCTCAGGAATGCGGAAAAAAGGAATAAACATTTTTTCTTAATCATTTAAAGTTTAAAGAGAAGAAACTAAAAGAAAAAAGAAAACTTAGAATTATTATGTGTCGAGGTTCATGGTCAGAAATTCGAAAATTAAGTGTTGAACTATATATAGGCCAGGCTTCAACGGGCGGACAAGCCCACAGCTTAACACAGCCAACACCACACTTTCAAGCGAGGCCAGCGGGAAAATATACATGACTTCTCGGGATAGGAAACTGAAGATTTTTTTCGGAGATTCAATTTTGTATCGCTCAAAGATGAGGTACTAGTACAAGAAGCATGAGCCTGTCATTGCGCATTGAATAGTACCCAGTTCACTTTGGGAGGGCCGTGAAGGATTCAACAGACAGCCAACGTTTCTTGACCAACCCAGCCTCCTTTCCTCAGCACCCCTCTTGTTTTTCTCGCTGATGGTTGGAGGCACTAAAAATGTCGCTGCAAATGATTGCGGTAGAAAGAAGACGTAGGTTTCAACAGACCTCAATTACGACAGGTGTCCTTCATTACTGCCTGTTCAGCTTGTAAGCCGAGAAGCCTATATATAAGTTCTCTATCCCTGGTAATTCGCTCTACAATTCATCCGCCTGACGCTGCAAAGTCGAGCAGGCCTGTGTCTGAGTCACCTGATCAACTCTCTCCTTTAATCCACTACCGACACTCTCACTGTAATGACATTTAGATAATACATCGTGGATTGACAAACCAGACAGTGCCTGTTGAGGTACAGGTATGATTCCAACCAGATGCACTGCCATTCGAATCAGCTTGTCAAGGTGTTTATGCGACGAGGTCTCCACCACAGCCGACTGGGCTGACTGTACAGCCTCTATGTGTAAATCGGAAGCGCGGATTTCTGCGTCACACATATGTGAGCCTTAGCCTGTCATGTGTCTACTGATCATGGAGAAGTTGCGGTTCTATAAAGCGAGGACATTCGACCCGATGCACTGGGGTGAAGGCCGCATCTATTTTCGTCCATAGTGCGCACAAGAACGTGTGAGTCGTGGATTGTCTCGTCAGCTTTCGAGCTAATCAATGACAGCAAACCATCGCAATCGCACTAGAATGGCCGCGAGAAAACGGCACTTCCGTTGAGTGCTCTGCACATGAAACATCTTTGTGGGTAGTCCTTATCGACTGATCGGAGATAAGACCAGGGGGCAGCATGCTCCATCGCGTCTTCGCCCTCACCGCCTTCACCCTATGAATGGCGCAGTGTCTGGGCGTCCGCATTACGACCCATCCATCACGACTATATGACTGCTTGTGCCTGGCGGGGTTGTCACGCCCTATTCTGCCCGAGAGAATGCGCGTCGCGCCACAGCCCGGCCATTTGGAAGCAACGGCCGGAGAGCGCGGTGAACCAGAACACAACATGGCATGAATGGTGCTGTAATGTTTTGCCGAAAAGGATTGTAAGTGATCTGTCTAGCAAGTTCATATAACCACGAAGCTCACTAATCGACTCGTCTTGAATGTACAAAGCGTGCCCTCTGCAAACTCTATGAACAGGTAAGTCACAGCCTCTCGTCCAAGTGGTAAGCCTTGCTGACTCGTATCGTACAACAGGACGGCCTTATTTCCTCTGCTCGAGCTCCCCTATACCGATGCGATCGCATGCTGTCTATCATTTCCATATAACTACTGGTGGCATCGATGATGAGCCAGTGTGAGGTCCCGATCGTCTCGGCCCTTCTCTCGGTCGACTGTGCATCAGTCATGCGCTGATGTGTCTACGATGCAAAGCTCAAGCCACAATGGGCCTAGACCACCGTGTCTCGGCATTCGAAAACCGCGAAAAGAACAGCCTCCCTGTGGATCAAATTTCTGGCGTTCAATGAGTGATCATCATTTTCCTTGGTTCACATCTCGCGGCTCTTCAGTCCTGGAACTCGAGGAATGCTTCAAGCGAATGCTCCCTTCATAGATGGCCAATTTGTTGGTCCAAGCTGTGTGTAGCGAAGAGGTGACGCAAGGGTCCCGTCATTTTGATCCTCCAGGTTAACAATGACCTTGTGGGTTTGGAGCCCAAAAGAGATTACTGGGAATTGTTTCCAATGTCCTGGCACCAACAACCGCTCGCATCTCTATCCTATCTATCAAACTATCCTGGTTGAAAAGTTGTCAATAATTGGTTACAGTAATGTGGTGGTTCATTAATATTCGCACTCCGGTATTTCCATCCACGCCAGTACCCTAGGATCCCAATGTACTAAAGGACAAACACTGATAAAACGCTGACCTTCTATGTACCAACTCGCACATCAAATACTGGATCTTAGTATTGGATACACTGTACTCCGCATTTCCATCATCAAACAGTCTACGTGTCATGACCATGCGAGTGATCGTGTTCTGATGTCATACCCCATGGCCTGCTTGGTCTTGATTCCGTTCATTTGATTTTCCCCTTCAATAGAACACATAAGCTTCATATAAGAGTCCAACTTCTCTGTCATAAGGTATCTTTTCTATTTGTGCGAGATCAAATGTCAACAAAAGTGACTCCATCCCCCTTCCCTATCGACAATGACCGAACTTCAGGACATAATGCGAGACTTACTTCTACGAGGTGAATTTTCTGACATGGAAATTGTATGTGAAGGAATGACTTTCAAAGTTCATCAAGCTATTGTTTGTACTCAGTCAAGCTATTTTCACAGCGCGATTTGTGATGGCTTCAAGGTATAATTGGAAGAACCCTAAACGCATATTTTTCGCCGCTTAATTTTCGAAGGAATCCACCGAGAAAATTATCAATATCCATGATGACATGCCGGAGACCATTGAGCGAGTCTTATCCTTCCTATATCTCCGGGATTACAGTGAGGATGGACATACATGTCAATATCAACCCATTTCGGAGCTTGCCAACAAAAAATCCGACTCATCTATTTCAGAAAGCGAGCCAGAAATTCCAGAGCCAGCGAGTCAGTCTGCTTTCAACAATATCAAAATATTTATCGCAGCTGATAAATACGCAATTACTCCACTGAAGTCTCTGGCTACCTCGAAGTTCTCTCAATGGGCGAATGCAAACTGGCGCTCTCCAGTGTTCCACGAAGTCCTAGAAAAAGTCATGACATCAGTGCCACCACATGAAAAAACTCTTCGGGAAGTTCTGGCAGACGTTTTCTCAAGGCATATTTTTGACCTTATGAAAGACCCAGAGATAGTACACATTTTGGATTCTTTTGGATGCCTTGGGTCCTTGGTTATTTCAAAGTTAATCAGCAATGAGATGGTGAAACGGCCTGGCGAATCTGACATTTTTCAAGGGTTAGTTCGAAGGATAAACTCTAGTCATCGCTGTCGGCATTGTTTGAAAGATTTGAATGTGAGAATAAAAAACGGAGAGTTCCTAGATCAGGGGTTTCGGTGTGCTTCTTGCAATACTCGAAATTGAAGCGTTATGTTTCGACTTTCAATTTGTATGAATATCAAAATATGATGAACATTGCCCCAGCGTACTTCAAGGAAGCTGTCCGTGAGTCGTATGGATATCAGGAGTAGGTTAGATTCCCACGATAAGAAAGTCGCTCCAGGAGCTAAGGAGTAGTTCCGAAGGGATACCCAGCTCCTATTAATGCTTTTGATGTTGACGTTTCTAGTATTCTAGTATCAATGTGAAGGTCTCACGTATACATAGATGAGGACTGAGTTCCATAGATAGATAGTCAATATGAAGAAAAGCTATAGTCGGCTCTAGATACTAGATGTAGAGAGAGGGAGCAAAAGGAAGGTAGGTTCCTCGCATTCAAGGAGAACCGAGAAGGGGGGGGTAGGCACAGATCATATCCACATTCGTCATGGATGCATCATGTAAGTGTCTAATAAAAAAGCTCTATCGGCTCTGGCAATGACGGCTTGGACCTGGAACTATCTTGCACCAGTGGCTTGAATGCGGTTTCTGGAAGCAAAGAGGCAGCTTCTATGAGCTACATAGCCCCCAGAAAACCCGTTGAAACTTCCGGAGTCTTGTACCTCCACCTCGGGGAAACGAGCACCTCTCGACTGACGGCACCTTATATCTTCTTGGCTGTGGTCAATGGAATCGGAGGGTGGTTCTACTCCCGTGGGTCTATTCAAATACCGAATCAACGTTCAAGCAAGCCCTATACTGTTTCGCGGCATTTGTTGATGCACCTATGCTCACTGATTGCATCAATATTTCACGCTTCAACCCTGGCATTGTCCATCTGCATCTGACAGACTCGAAGTAACCGGACTTTCGAGAACCCAGTTTCTTGGGTTCCTCCCATATGCGGAAATCATTTTGGCTGAGATCAATACTACAATCCTCTGCTTCACCTTACGAGATGGCACTAGGGCGAACCAATGACAAAGCTGCTGTCAGGGGTGGTACAGATGAGACTTTCGGGTGTTAGATGATCCAAGCGTACTGTGACATTGAAGCGCCCTGAGGATTTTTGCGAACTTTCCCTCAATGCGCCCGATGTCATTGGCTGCATGTGAGTTGGAAATTTCCCTAGATTACTTTGAAAGCGTACTTAAGCTCAGCTATCACTAACATCACTATCACCGATATGAGATGATTTCAGGGCTATGAGCCAGATTCGGTTGACAATAAGGAAATATATTCACCAGACTAAGAAACTTCCAATCAGAAGAATATAATGTAATAATAATCCATTTTCTAACTGTGAGCCAGTATAAGTCTACTACAAGATTGATAAATTTTCTTCCTGGCGCTGTAGCAGCGCAGTCACACTGAACCCAATACAGAGGAAATTCTACAATGAGATAGAATCGCCATTCGAGCCCACAGTGCATGTGGGGGTATGCACTACACATCCGAAGGGCGATAGCTACTTGCCACGCGTTTTGGCTTTTTATCAGGAACAATCAGAGATAGGCGCGGTCTGGAAAGTGGTCGATGGCTTCGTAGCTGAGGACGAAGATTCCAGCGTCGTGAAAGCGGAAGAAGACATGGCAGAAGACAACGCGATAGGAGAGGGATTGATAGAAGACGGTTCGGAGGTGGACGATTGCGCGTAGGACGACTTGATAGAGGACGATTCGGTGGCGGGTAGCACGTCTGAGGCGGTGCACCGGCTGCCATGCTTGAGTCCATTGTCCAATGTACATCTCGACTTGTTTCCTTGAAAATTGTAGAATGTGATCACGCCGGTTTCTTCAACCTTAACCCATGCAGCGGATGAATTGTCTTCCGTGCCGCAAGCCTCCGCACCACGCATAGGGTAGCCTGGATGGGTGCTGTTGGCGACTTTGTCCAACTCTAGAAATCTGTAAGTATGTTTTTCTTGATTCTCATGCCAGGCATTTACTTACTTGAACAATAATCTCCATCAAGTTGACTGAAGAAGGCGGAAGACCCCGTGCAGCCATGATTGTCATTGGACCAGATCGCGCATTTCTTGTCAATATCAATGATCTCAAGAGTACCACCAAGGGACGCACGTGCATACGCACTCGCGAGAATCACAATGAGAGAGAAACGCATTTTAGATCTAGCTTGACAACCTAAGAGGTTTGAATACTTTTGTTGTTCTGACGTGTGGGCTATTTGCTTTTAGCTCACAGATCCGGCGTTGTCTCGCTTGTCTGAAGCAGAGCAAAAGGATGTTGAACGTCGTGGCTATTATATAGTCGAGTTCAGATGCCACTGAGACTTCGATTGGTTCGCTGAGAAGGCAAAATACGAAGTATAGGTGCCATCTGACCAAAGTTGAGGTGCACTCGAGACGATAAATTTGCATGTAAGGTCGTTTATTGAGGCCGAAAGGGCAGCTCGACTGCACCAACAAAATTGACTGTACATGGCCGATAATTTTCGCGGTATCTGGCGTTGGAATACATGGCCAACCAATTTTGAAATGACAATATCTCGAATTGAGGGAAACAATGTTTCAACATCTCCCCAGCTCCACTTTACCAGCCTGCTTGAGCCCCATAGCTTATACTACCCTTACTGCGCCTTGTTGTGATCTGGTCAATTGTATCATCATGCTCTATCAGTACTGTTTAATCTGTGAGGCTTCATGCCGGGAAAGGCTAAAAAATTGATTTATTGCGGTTTTTGATTTTGTCTCTTCCAAAACTTCGAAAGGCTTAGCCCTCAAAGTAACGCTATCATAAAGGAGACTCCGAGCGCTTAAGAAGTTTCCAATTGCTAGCGTTGAACAAGATCCTCAGTCTTGAATTGATAAGGGGGCTTAGAGGAAGAGTGGTGGGGGCGAGTGTTGAACTGAGGACTTTCTGGTCTAGCAGTATTCTATCAATTATCGAATAATGAACAATAGTAGTTCAAAGGATTTATCCGCTCTTCTAGTGTTTTCGAGGGAGGGAGCATAATAGAGTATATACATACAATGCGACCATTTTCTATCCACCTTGGTCAATCAAACTCGCTGCCTCTGCACTCACAACCTGATCTTTACTGAATTTCATGAATATCCTGTTCGTGTTATTCTCGATTACCGTATCGAAGTGGGCGCAGGGCAGATATCTTCTAGAATTTGCACGTTGAACTTGAATCCAGACTCGTCTGCTCACAGGAAAATTATTACTTACGGAGCAATTTTTGGCTGTCCGCAATGGTTGCCCGTGTTTTGAGCCCCGCTTAGCTTCTCGCAGGCTACACGTTTCTAGCATCATATCCGATCCTGGGATCCATATAATGGCTGCTAGGCATGTTTGTGAGAATTCTGCGTATACATCTAGGGACTTTCAATATGACGAAAGCTATCGTCTACCCTAAAACAAGACATCGTGCGAGGAAGCAGCAGAATAGTGGAGTCCTGGGCCCACATGGACAGCGTGGGTCCTGTAGATCATTTCTCTAGATATCCCGTAAACTTTATGACAATCCTGCCTAGCAACCCTGCACACTAGTCCTGGGAGCTACAGCGTCCCTGGAACCCTTCACCGAGATCCTAGGGCCATTCAAGGGTTTCGAAGAAGTGATGATGAGACAGGCGGTCAAGGTATGCTATTCATCAGTGCAACGTTCATGGCTATGCTTTGGAATGGAGGACGGAGATTGTGTTCCTTATTGTTCTACGCACCGTAGCATTGAACCAAGATCGGCGCCACTGTCCCAAAGAGACCTCACATGGATTGCAAGTATTCGACGGCTATTCTTTGATCGACATCATGTCCTGTCCCTGTTCAGTCTCGCCTCCATCTCGAGTTTGGGATATGAGCTAGATAACTTTCATAGGAATGCGCGTCACTTTCCTTTCACTAATTAGATACTGATGATCGAGAATGCTCAGGATATTCCTGAAAATGGCACATCTGAATACAATGATCCAGGTATAAAGAGGGATATGCTATCATCCGATCCATTAATAGCTTCTCGTTTCTGCCCCAGAGCAGTCTTTGTCACAACTACCTGGGCAATTTCCCCCATCTCGCTCAAAATATCATATCCGTCAACAGCGTACCATCTCGAAAGTTCTGCGGACATGTACCGCCCTGAGTGCCCTCCGAGTGTCGAGTCCAGCGTGTGCTGCACATCCTCAATATCTATGTCAGAAAAAGACAGGCTGGAGGTGGACAATCTGCAGATACAACATGACCATATGCTCGCCTCGTGCCCTTGCCGGGCCCCAAGTGTACTCACCTGGGCCATCATACAGGGCAAGAGCTGCTTCGTCCAATACCTGATGGGGCGGTTCCCTGTATGCGTCAACCGTCCAGATTGGAACAACCAACGACCAATCATGGTGGCTATGGAATATCGACAGCACGAGATCTTGCAATCGCTCCTCTGCGATCCACATACCAACGTGAACGTCGCAGATCAGAGTGGGCATACTCTTCTCCACCTTGCTGTGATTTACGACGATGTGACGGCGGTCGAAATTTTGCTGAAGCACAAACACATCAACGTCAATGCTCGAGACAGCAACGGCGATACTGCACTTCTACTGGCTGCCAAGATCCACGGCTGTGATCAGCCCAATAGCAACCGGATACTTGATTCACTGTTGTTGCACAAAGACATTCGAGCCGAATCGCTTGATTATTCCGGTCGTTCGGCTCTCTGGCACGCGGTGAACACCTGCAACTGGCAGTTGCTTTGCCTTCTCGCAAAATTTCCGCGGGTTCAGACCAACGTCCCTGATCGTCAAGGTGCCAGCCCGTTAGCCCGGGCCGTGATCCGCAGACGGCTTGACATTTTCAATTGGCTTCTTGCTACGTTGCCGCGAGACATTGCCTAGGGCTTACGGCTCTTGTATTTTAAATATGATGACATGAGTGGGTTCATTTCTATAGCTTGCTAAAACTGTGCCAAACCACTAAACCGGCGTCGCAGAAATTCTGCGCCCGCTCTCTTAAATAACATAATTATCACAAACCAAATTTTTATGACTGGGAACAGTCGTGAGTTTTCATTCCGTAGGCGCATTTCCAACATGACTCGGCTGCATTATGTGATTGCAGCATTGTAAGAACACTCAGTCGTATTTAAACAGAGCTTGATTGCCCAACTAAAGTTGTCAATGTTGGTACTTATTAGGAAGCCCGAAATCGCGCATATTTTATCTTTTCTCTCGCCAAATGAACGCACTCCTGTGCATCTGAAATTGTCGGACAATAGTACAAGGTCAATATCCGCGGTAGGCAGGTAGATACCAGAGGTAAAAGAGCCAAAAGCATGGATTTCAGTGCCAGCGGATCGACTTTGAAATGCAACATTCAATCGCTCGACGAGATCTCTACGGATAACGTTTCCAAGTTCCTGTGGCTTGGCCCAGTCATAAAAGCTGAGAGCCTCGCGATCTAACCTAGTGCGGGTTTAGAAAAGGAAATACTCAATAGCGATCGAGATGACAGGGGAAGTACAGACTGAAATTCTATGTGCAAGGAAGACGGAGTGGACTCAAACCAAGGCATACCCGTCTCTTGAGACGGTGGTCTCCACTCCTTGATGGCTGAGCCGTCGCAGTTGTACTTGCTTGTAGGCTTGCCGGTCTTCCTAGCGTGACGTTTGATCGCACCCCTCCGGGTTCGCTTTCGACTCGGGTCGGCAGAGTACACATTTTCCGGGCCTGTTGGCCCTTTGAGGGCGATACCGGAGGCGTTCTCGGGAGCGTTGCTCTGATGCTCTGATTCTGATATCATGCTGGGGGAATTGAGATCCATGTTCTCCCTGAGTTCATCTGTCTCACCTGCCTTTGCTTTATCGCCAAGTCTTGTAAGACGCTAATGTCTCGTAGGTGCTTTGCGTCACCTCTACACTATCTGGCTAACAGGGCAAAATATTTCAGCGATAAAATTAGCATGTATGCTTGAACTCTGCCAGGGAGAATGGAGCGAACCACCAAGATCAAACCTTCGGCAGGTCCTACTTGTAGATAAATACCGAAAGCGGCAGAGTAAAATGTACTGCCGCTAGTCACGCTCAACCCGCATGCAATAGAAGTCCTTTTCATTCATTTGGTTTCAGGGTTAGACCAACTTCCCGAGAAGCTAGGCTCAGTGAAAGTGTTCTTTATATCGTTCTTTGTATGTGAAAAAATTCATGCTATGAAGCCATTGGCACTAGAAAAATAAAACTGGCTAGCTCAATGCGCTAGATGTACTGCGGAATTATGCGCTTATGGCCAATTTGAGGACTGAAAGGGTGATCACACCGTAAGAGTAAAAATCCGCAAATTATTAATTTTCTCGATCACTGCTTACATGCGTCAAGATGAAGACACGTGCAGATTTTGACGGCAAAAAAAGGGCAATAATGACCATCCAGCTCAGCAGCGCCAGCTAGCAAACAGTGGTACTAGGTCTTTTAGCCAGGTGCGGTTTTCAGGTCTACATTTGTGTAGGCTTCGTAAAAAAGGTTTTGTAATGATTGACTAGAATTCTTTTCTTTCACCTTTGCAGGTGAAATTGATGTCTTTCTCCGTCTTTTTTGTTGTCAACGCTCCATCAGATTTCGGTGGCCTCTCTCCGCTGACCAAGAGGGAAAAGTTGAGACACAAATTCTGGTCTCAAGATTCTGGCTCTTGTTTTAATAAATGTCAACGCCACTAAATCGTAAGCCTCCCATATCATCATTATTTCCTAAATACCCAACCGACATTATTGAGGCAATTGGAGCGCGCCGCAATATTCCTCCTTCAGCGAGGGAAAATGATCGGACTCCGCGGAGACTTTGGCTTATAAATAGCTCAAAGCCTTTCCATCAGAAGTAAAACGACAATCAACCTGCTCCATTCTCAAGGGCACTGCATAGAAGATCCACGCCATCGTTTCCAATGCCAGCACTGCGGGCGTGAAGAAACCGTCCAAGGGTGAGCCCAGGACAACCAAACATAGCCAAGAGCAGCTGGAACAGCTCCTTGACGAGGCACAAAGCGGAGGGATTACCAATGGAGAGGGTCCGAGTGCTGACGAAAAAGTGTCTGCTGCACCGGGACCCGGGGACGGCCGACAATCTCCAGACAGGGAGCAGCCACTTCAATCAAATTCAAACCAAAATGGCGATATTTCAGGAGATTTTCGCAGCGAAACACAGCATGCGGACGACTCTCCGTCGAGTGATGTGGACATGTCGGACGTTGAACCCCAAACCTCCGGCAAGTCGGTCTCTGCTGGTCCCACGGGAGCACGCGCACGTGGCTTGGATGATTCAACCAACGACAAGCAACTACTTGTGGACTTTCAGCAGATGAGCATAAGTGAACACCGTCACTCAAAGAAGAAAAGACACGAAGATCCCCAACCAGGCGACATAGAGGCGTTCGGTGGCCAATCGAACAACCGATTCTTTATTTTTCGAGTTGGCCCCATCAAGGCCCCCAAGTACGTGTATCGAAGGACAAATGCGTATAGCACAAAGGGTTTGAAGAATATTTCATTCGCCAACAACCGGATTTCCAAGCTCAGATACGAAGCCGAAAACGGGGATCAACATTGGCAATATACAAAAGATAATATTGTTGGGGTTAGAGGCATCGCCATTGATGAAACGGGGAACAGCCTCAGGAGCCCACATACATGGATCAAGATCGAATGGATGGATATCAAAAAAGAGCACCAGGCCCTGTTAGGTGAAGAATGCAACTGGACAACGAGGTCGGATGTGATCCGATTGATGGGCCCGAAACTGGCCAGCTTGGTAATCCACGCAGCCTGGGACGCGCAGGAGACTCTACACCTCGAGGCGATCAATAGTGAGGGTAAATCAGCTCATCGCGCACTTACGCCATGTCCTTTAGCTATGTTCGAGGACAAGAAAATCAAGCGAGAAAGATCTGACTCGCCGCATCGGTACGAATCATCCTCGGTCCTGCTGAAGCCCCTTTCGTCGGCCCCCAAGAGCCATTCCAGCATCTCAGGTACCAATCCGGTCACAGGTATCAAACAAGAACCAGAGGAGGAACCCCGCTCCCCCATTGAGGATCCGCCTGCACCGAATGCCACCCAGAATGAAAGCAGCGGGGGCAGCCAAAACAAGAAAAAGGCACCTCAGAAATTCAACATTTACACCTACATGGCGAATGTGGAAAAGTTGGAAAAGTGGAACACTTTCACCAAAGACGAGAGAGAAGAGAAATACAGAAGGGCGTTGGCTCATTATGATCATTACAAAGAGGAGAGGCTGCTCATGGGCGATGAAGAGGCTGAAGAGGAACTCTGAGAGAAAATCAAATCCGCGGCAACCAATTGCCTTGTTGGATACGATATAGAATTGATTGATAGTTTTTTTTTTCGTTTTGCTTTGTTGTCTTTCTGATTCTGATCTGGTTTTGTCTGATTATATGTGCTTTGCTTCCTTAGGATATAAGAATGAAAGTCTCCAGCGTTTTGTGACATGGTTAATACTGAAGTAAGGATTCGTAGTTGAAAGTCTGATGGCGTGAAGTTACTATCCCAATCATCAAACACGTACTGATACCAGTAGTTGACAACAGGAATAGGTAGAAAATATTTATGCGTCCATTTATTTCCCCCGAGAAGTACACAATAGGAGGCGTCGCAAGGATTTTCAAGATTTGATCTAAAGAGCAAATGCGGTAAGACCTGATTTGACTGAAACTTATATATCTGATCATATGCTACGTTGAAAGGGGAGCTTGAAAGCACAGTCAACCTCGTCCCAAAGATTCCATTCGTATCTGTCTAACACCCTGCCATTAAACTTCGTATTTGGCTCGAAATTATACATTTTATTCCACAAAACAATTGAGATATGGGCATCCGACTTCAATTCCATCGCCGTATCATGCTCTAGAAATTTGATCGTGTGGGGCTCTCCTGAAGCGTCGATGTAGGGGAGGGTAGAGGCGGGCCGTAAGTGTTGATAAAGAGCATCCCAGTCGATTTCAAAGAAAGAATCTTCCACGGTACACACGTGTTCCGACCATAGAATCTCCATCAGAGAATATCAATGTCTCGAGTAAACGCCGGTGGCCTTTTATCAAATCACCGGCATGCTTGTATTGGGTCTCTGTACATGTATAGTTCAATCAGACGCTTTTTCTACTGTATCTGTAGCGCCTCACGACGTAGCAAAACCAGCCCATCTATATTAGTCAACAGTCATTGTAAATCTGACTCTGGGAACTATTGCATTGATACTAGAAACGCCAAAAGCAATCCTAGGAGCTGTTTGTTCTCTGGGAACCTGTCTTTAGCTCCTGGGGCCATTTCCAGTTTCCAGGAATTTGAGTTCTACCCCTGGGATCTCTACGATACGATTCTGATGAAATATGAACTGGGTTTGGAACAAGTTGGCTGGATCTGGAAGTTGTCGCGCTCCTGGGGCCCTGCTTCAGGATCCCAGAGTCAGTATTTTGCCTTCTGAGGTCGCCAAAAGCCCTCACAGAAAACCTTCACCGGCTCCAGAAGCTACGTCGGGTTTCCTGGGGGCTACGTGGCTCCTAGAAGCTGCTTTGTTGCCCCAAAAACAGCACTAAAGCCCCTGGGGGCAAGAGAGCTCCTAGGGCCAATATTTGCATTCCCAGGGCCGATAGAGCTGTCAACAGGGGCGTGACTGATTTTGTGAGGATGGGAATGGAGATTCTGCAAGCTACGTACAATTTTCTGGGGCTTTGTGATCCCTGGGCAGCTCATTTCTCGGGTCGGCTTTTGAAATCTTGACGACCACCAAGGTTGAGGGTTATTTACGCACAGCAGGTCGTCAACCATCACCTGCTTGCTACATCAAGCCACCCAGCATACTGCTCCAATATTGGCCACGATTGGTTGGCTAGCCAGATCAAGCGATGAACATGCTTTGGTTTCAATCACGAAATTCAATTGGTAAATTATCTCACCAACTTTGCAGTAGAGTCCATTCCTTTACCGGTTGACTAGTTCCTCACCCCTACTTTAGGAGGTCGATGGAACCCTCTGTGACTGTTTCATAGGGCCGTGTGCGCACTCTGCTAGTGTCCGCGTAAGGCGCATATGGCAAAAGGCACGAGAGACATAATGACCGATAAAACTCCGAAAGCCGCCTGGCCAACGGCTCCATAATACATAATCTTGTAGTACGGAAAATAACCCTCACTGTCAAATAACCCGAATGATGCCTGAGCACTGTGAACATGGCAAAATAGCCCTCCAAGGCGAGAACGATCAAGCCGGCGACGAGCTGAGTGCAGACGTAGTAAAGTCGCTACTTGCGGTCTTCTCGCAGGCATCTTGGCTGGATTGCAAGGGCGATCCCGAAGATGGAAAGCAGAGAATTGAATGGCGGTAACTGGACGTACCCACTTCGGGTGGGGCCTTACAGATATCTGTGTTTGTCTTGTTCGCTGCTGCGAGCATCCGATCTGCAGGATCGCATGGTTTCCAATTCCCTTTTGAAGCTCTTGACTTTCTTTCCGAGGACTTCAATATCACCTTTGTTCTCCATACTTTGAGGGGAATTTCCTCCGTTGCGACGACTTTGTCGTTCGTGTAGTTTAACTTTTCCGCGAAGTGACCTATTGCTTGTACGTATCAGTCCTACCGCCAACAAGCTGTCGCGTTTGAAGTGAGCATTGATGATTGCTAAGTGACACACCTTTTTCGCCTGCTCGGCCTGCGTAATAAATTAGCAAGAGGACAGGGGTGCTGATGATGGGAGGAGAGGGGGCAACGAGAAAGAAAACTAACCAGCTAGCTATGGACTTCTCCGGCGTGTGCGCGCCGGATAGCACGGATTCCTTCAACGGGACTCCTGAAGCTGGCTCGAATCGCACTCTTTTGAGTAATCCATGTTCGGGTCTATCTCGGCGGGGCGAGGTGCGCTCACGGTTCTTAAGTATCGAGCGAGGTATCTTCTGAGATGGCACTCTGGGCTCTGCAGAGACTCGGGCTCTGTCGGAAGTCTCAATTGATTTTTGGAAGTCCGCAAACAGGGTGTGCATGCGGCTCTCAGTAGACGAATTGTCCGGTGGTGTCATTTGGAAAAGGTTTTTGGGTTGAAAAAAAAACAACGATTGGCAAGAGCAATATCTTTGAGTAAAGTTTGCAAGAAGCAGGAGATGGAGCAGGAAAGGCTCAAGTTTGCGAGTAAACCTCAGGCTGTATGCACAATAGGAAATTGAGATTGAAGCTCGCTAGCTTGTCATTGGGATTTTAGTGAATAGTGGGAGAAGAAGCTAGGTCTGGGAACTGTCGAAAGATAAAGTCGGTCACAAATGGATGGAGCATCCAAATGGCATTACAGCGACATCGCGCTCGTTTTGGTCTGCAGCTAATAAGTAGCATTGCAATCCTGCGAGGAGGTGGCGATCATGAGAATCTAAATTGTGAGCCATGGTAGCTGAAATAACTCATTTCATTGTCCTGAGAACTGGACTCGGGTTTTTATTCTGGTTTTTCCAACACATTCTCGACTTCTGATTATCCGTCAGCGAGAAATCCAATACCCTGGGTTTAGGAATATGTCCAAAGTGTCTGTACTGACCGGTAGCAGAAGTATCAGGGGAGGCAACATCAGTTGGTTGCGAGCAACATAGAAAGGTACAGTTCGCGCGAGGCTAGGCAAAGTGGATTGTAGCGGGGTCAGTGGGAGGCACGTCCTATGGCCGACAGCCGGTACAATCGAATGTCACTGTCTGCCACATTGTGCAACCCATTATTGCGGCACCTGTTGAAGCACTTCAACCCTCATGAAACAGATGGTGAGCATGGCTAGTGACCATGGTCAAAACGGGCAAAGTAATTTGCCACCGCGTTGAGGCATCCAATTGCAACTTGAGTGATATGTAGGAATCAGATTTTTGCGGCGTTGCTTTCTGCTCAACAGGTGATGATAATGGTTCACCACGCTCAACGCAGGTTTTGAAAGCAATGAATCCAGGTTGAAACTTGAGTCTGTAGGCCACAAAGTCTCCTAACACCATTTCAACGGTGTTCAAATGTCTTCAACGACAATAACGAGTCAGTGATTCTCGCTACCAACTGCGCAACTGGCTCCTCTGAGGAGACGTGACCAAAATTATAAAGGAGCCGGAACCCCAGCCCAAAAAAATCAGTACTTCGGTCCTCACACTCCGATGTGTCATGGTGTTTCTCTTGCCTACGGGCTTGAGAATCTCCATGGCCACGGCTGTCGCTGCCCCGAGCCCCGCGATGTAAGACATGTGCTCCCTCGCTGCCCTGAGCCCCGCGAGTGATAAATGTGCTCCCTCGCTTCCCTGAGCCCCGCGAGTGTAAAAATGTGCTTCGCAGGATAGGTCTGCGTCAACAACAATCCTCGCAGGGGGGCGCTGCGTTACCAAGTGAACTCCGCAGGGGGACGCTGTGATGACAATTGAGACCCGCAGGAGACCGCTGCGTTAACAAGTTCTCTGCAGGAGACCGCTGCATTACCAAGTTCTCCGCAGCCCAGGTCCTGCGTCAACAAAGCGCCTCGCAGGGACATCTGCGACACCAAGAGTCTCCGCAGGGACATCTGCGACAAAAAGAGTCTCCGCAGGGACATCTGCGACACCAAGAGTCTCCGCAGGGACATCTGCGACAAAAAGCCCCTCTAGCGCGTGCAGGCACCTCTTCGTGGTGCTCAGGACCAGTATTCGAGTCTTCAAGAGCACTTGAAGAAGGAAAGACCTGCGCACCATCTTGATGATGTATTTTGTATTCCGAATGATCATCACTAAAGAAGAAAAATGAGCCCTAGATAGAAGCAAGCAATATCAGAATCGTAACTTTAAGATTCAACCTTCGTTATCGAGAGCCGTATTCCCAACGCTCCTGTCTTCATGGTTTGCGGCCGGCTAGTCTTCCCGCCGCAATAGAATGTATCTGCCATCAGGGCGGGGAGCGGACAAAATGATGAGTATCTTGGTGCGTCGTGGATGTGTTGACCGGGCGTTGATGAGCGTTGATGGGTGTTGATGAACGTTGGTGATCGTTGATGAACGTTGGTGGTCGTTGATGAACGTTGATTGTCGTTGATGAACGTTGATTGTCGTTGATGGACGTTGATTGTCGTTGATGGTCGTTGACGATAGTACGGGCGAGGGTGTTGATGTGTGCATTGTGGTATATGGCCAGGCAATGATGTTGAGTGGTGGTCACTAGACTTTAGCAAAGCCCGACCAAGCCCATTCCTATGCACACAAGAGCGGTATTCGCATTCATAACCCTGCTGATTTACGTCTGTTTTCTATGCATGTTCTAGTCTCGCAAGCTCGGATCTCGGCCCGACGTTTTCCCCGGCCCAATCTGGGGGTTCAACTCCCAATCCGGGGGTTCAATTACACCAAGAAGCAAGATATCAAGATTCAACGGCAACGACCTGGTAATAAAAGTCATAGAAGACAATGGCTGCACTATAGACCCGGTTTAAAGGGGATACCAAGAAAAAGTCGAATTTGATCAGGATTTTGTACTATTCTGGCACTTAGAGGATTCGTGGGCGTCAGCACATAGATATATATATTTCATAAAAGCAGAAGTAGGCGCATCTTTCTATTCATGTATGACACTTTCATCAGTAGAACTCCCCACTTGTAGGCCTATAGGGTTCAATTCAATGCCGAAAGCTAGCTAATTCCTGACAACGAGTGTCCGTTTCCCCAGATAATTGATCCGGGGAAAATCTGCAGTTTACGCAATGCCAAGAATAGGCAGGCATGTCTGCATTGTTTTCGGCCCATAGCCCACCTGCGGGTTGGGGTCGGTTGGGCCTTGGGCGTTTGAGTCGGTCCGGCAGTCTACATATGACAGAGATAACAGTTTCATCGTTTCATCCTGCACCATTTGGCATCACTTGCTACGATGGTCCCCTGGTGAAGCTATAATTAGGCAAAACACCCACGATCAGACCTACCAGGTGCAAAAAAGCATTTCATGAGGGGTGCTCGAAATACATTTTGTGGCTCAGATAATTATGGTGATGCGATAGACTGTTCCTCGCGTCGTCAAATCTGCCGTTTCAGGCGGCTTGCAAGTCCCTCACTCCTACACCGGTCGCGAGTCAAAGTGGATTCCCATAAAGACATCGAAGAGATTGAGGGGTTTGGCTCGAGAATTTCCGATTGGCTGCTTCTACATAGAAGCCCATCGCAACCCCGTGAATATTCCCGTAAGCAACTAGAATTCATATCGCCTGTCCTCTCCCATTATCGACATCCGCCACTGCACCCAAAGCGATCGCCATTGCTTTTTGGGCATAGTACCCGAGTCCTTGCGATGAAGTATACTCTGCTGCGTAGAGAACATGGTGGCAGCCCGATCGGGTCTGGCAAGCGCCATCTTGACCACGTCTGGTAAAGACAATTCGGCCAGCATTTACGACGGACGTTTGTGATACGTTCTACTTGGCTTGGAGCAGCAGCAGACATGTCCCTAACCACCCCCCGAAAGCAATCAAATGAATGCCGATTAGTGGTAGAAAAGTTAGCATGGGCTGTCATAGATAGTCACAGAGGACGCACTACTGACCTGCAGCTGCAGTGCCCTCGAGGGTAAATCACTTTTGCACATGTTGTAGATGTTGCTCTGACTTGGGTAAAAAAAAAGAGTGTGCCTAGGCATCAAGGATACCAAGATCTGTCCAAAGACGCCATAGGAGGCCTGACAGTGCCTTCGATGCTGCGCCGTGTATGTCCGGCTGGTCTCTCCCGCTCGCTCGTTTCCATTTGTCGGTTCCATCCACTGGAATACGTTGACCGCCCAGCAACGCGGAGTAAGATCTGGTGAGTCTATCGGACGCCATCTTTTTGCTGGTGGCTCTATAGTTGACTGGGCTATGACTCGGGATCCTACCGTCTCCTTTATCGATTCGTACCTGATATGGACAATGTTTATTTGTAGGCTCCAATGATGGGAGCCTCGCCTCACCTTCTCCTTGCACGCAGACTTAGACTCACAGCCTGCTCGTCGGCGAGAGTAGGACTCGTCCGCCATGAGCCAGACTGAAACATGAGCTCATCCAGGTGCCTGTCGAGCTGCCGGGCATGAAAAAAGTGAGATGCGAATCAAGGATAATGAGGGTCACCCATTGGATGTCAGGAATTCGATCCACAAGGAGGCTATTCTTTCGCGGTGACGGTGGTATGAGCCCATGACTGATGCAGAGTCGACCGAGAGAAAAGCCAAGGCGAGCTGGACTTTACACTGGCTCATCATTAATGCCGTTTATGTGGAAACAAGAGATAGCATGCGATCACATCGGTAAAAGGGGGCTGGAGCAGACATGTCTTTTGCTCGCTTCGCATTCGACTCGAGTGATGGGAATATAGGGGTCCCTAATTTAGGATCCAAGTCAGCAAGGGTTACCACTTGGACGTGTGTTTGTGGCTTACCATTTCATAGAGGTCCCCGAGGGCACGATCAGACGCTTGAGAGGGGATGACCGGTGAGCTTCGCGGTCATATAACTTGCCAAACAGGCCACTTACAATCTTCTTCGACAAAGCATTCATGCCATGTTTATTCTGGTCCTTCGCAGCCTCCGACCGTCACGCCAAAAAAGACTGGGCTACGGCGGAACGCGCATTCTATCGGGCGTCATGAAGTGTTAAAAACTCACCAGACAAGCAAGTACATAGTCGTAATGGATAACAGTTTCGTCGTGCGGGTAGTTAGGACTGCCATTCATTTAGTGAAGGCGGTGGGGGCGAAGACGCGTAACCTATCGCGTCGCAGTGCTGCCCCTTGGTCTTCTCTCCTATTCAGTGATAAGACTCCCAACAGGGATGTTTGATGGATGGTGATAGACTGCTCCTATATACAATAGCATGAAAATTAGTGATTGTGTTCATGTCCAGGAAGAGACCGCTTAAAAATTGATCTGGCGTAGCAGAAGGCACGATCGTCACTCACATTATCAGAAACAATGAACGTCTCAAGCTTCCACGCAGCGAGCCTTGCAATCTAATATGCGCACCTGTTATTGGCCCGTACCTTCTTCACCTAGCGTATGCTGCGTGGTTTGAAGCGACGAAGTCGGGGTCGTTATGTAGGCCATAACTTGTATTGGGCACTCACAGGGTGTTATATCGTCGGATCCTCTGGTGCGATGTCAATGGTTCACTGTCATTCATGAGCCTGCATATCGGAGGGACATGTCATCATTCACATATTCTGGTGGTCAGCACCATGGACTAAGGGACAGCAAAGAGCTGTGGTCCTTGCGCTCGTGCATTGGGTCGAATGTCCTCGGTTCGATTGAAGTGTATCGTCTTCAGGATCAGTAGAATTCAGACAGGTCAGGCTAAGATTCACATACCTGCGACGTGGATATTCGCGCTTTTGCTTTGGGAGCACATACAGTGGCTGTACAGTAGATTAGCTCTGTAGGCTGCTGTGGCGGAGGCATCTTCGGATAGAAACCTCTCAGCCAATCAAAACCTACATTCTTAATTGCTGGTGTAAATGACAGTGTATCTGGTGCAACCATACCTGTATCTCTCACAGGCACTGTCCGGCTTGCTAATCCTCGATGTATTCTGTAATGTCAGTAGATTGGAAATTCGGTTCTTGGTCAAAGGGGAGAACTTATCAGGCGACTCAGACAAAGGCCTCCTCGACTTTGCAGAGCCAGGTGAATGAATCGTAGAGCAAATTGCCGGGGGTAGAGAACATATTTATAGGCTTCTCGGCTCATCCTGCCAGGTAAGTGCGCTGCTACATAGAAGGGTTGGGGGACACCTCTCGTAATTGAGCCCTGTTGAAGCCAATGTCCTCTTTTTACCGCAACTTTTTGCAACGGCAATCTTGGTGCCTTGAGATCTTCAGCGAGAGCGATAGTTGAGAGTGGTGTTGAGATAAAGAATGTCGAGTCGGTCAAGAAACGTTGGCTCACGGTTGAATCCTTCACGGCTCTCGAAATTTGTGGCTTTGTGGGAGATATTCAATGCGCAATGAAATGCTCATGTCTTTTTCTGATACCTCACCTGTGACTCAACGTTGAATCACCAAAATCGCCTACAATTTCATACTCGAAACCATGAACTTTTTTCCTCGCCTCGCTTTAGTGTGGATTTGGTTGCGTTAAGCTGTGGGTCTGTCCGACAGGATTGCGGAAAGCGAGAGATTACAGTAGGACATGTTCGACATGTCAACCCGTTGAAGTTTAGCCCAACGCTGTCAACACTCAATTTTCGTACTTTTGACTATGGAAAAGCATTAAATAAAGAATTGGGGACTTTTTTTTTTTAATCACAATAAGTTCACAATCTTCCATTTATCAAGTTTCTGAGGCGTGCAACGAAAGGGAACGAAGTGTCTGATTAAAGTGTACATCGCCGACGCGCGTTTATCTCTCGGCCTCAACATTGTAAAGCTTCATCAATTTCCTCGACTAAAATCCATTCTGTTGAATACACCGTCAGAAGCGCTTCGAAAAGTTGAAAACTACAGTTCAGAATCTGACTGCTTTGGTTGATCGTTGTGGTGATTGTAAAAATATTGATTAATCATGATGACATTGCTCATCAATTCTATCGTAGGGTCGATTTCTTTGCTAACAGGACACCATCCGTCAATTTTCTCCGATAATCACAGATCTTCGGTTCTTCCTTCGTCCTATGAAAATCACCATGGCAAGTTCTGATCTCTCTCCCTCCAAATTCTCTCTGCTCTATTCGTGTACACAATCCTACTTCCAAGCAGCATGCCTCGGTGTCATCTCTAGAGTTCTGTTGTCTTGTGTCGTTGAAAATTCAGATTGTGCAACTCCAAAGACATGTACCAAGATCAAGATGAATATTACAGAGCCAAAGGATGCCTGGCCAACAGCCGCGTAGTACATGACGATGTAATATGGAAACGAGCCATCTCTGCCAAAAAGCTCAAATGAGGATTGAAAACCGTGAATCCGACCGGCAGCATAACCTCCGAAGGAGATAACAAATATGCTCAGGAGGAATCATCCAACCCCCCACCCCATTTAAAAAGGCTCCGCGGTTAGCAAAAGCCATCTCTGGCTGCGAAGCACTGACGAATTTGCCCATTTGAAGAAACTTCAAGAAAATGAAAGACTTGATACAATATGGTTCTTCCTTGATTATGCGGGCATACTCATTAAACATCGTACGCACAAATTCAGGACTCATCGGTAGTACAAAAGAAAAGCCTTTCATGCTTTTCCGGTCCCCAGCCACTGCTACATCGTTTAGCAGCGCATTTACCTTTTGATAGGGAATCATCGTCACCGTATTCATGACTGGATTGAGGGCCAGGAGATCCGCATAGCGCGTCCTTCCTTCTTCCTCGAAAGTATTCCACATGACACAGCACACAATTGTTGATTCGGAACCTCCGGGTGGCACGGTCAAAAAACAGTAGACCGCGGACCGGCCATCGGCAGTATCATCGCCCACGAGATGATTGGCGAACTCGATGACCTGCTCCAGCTTATCTGGCGTGAATGCGAGAAGTCCAACATAAACCTCGCTTCTCTGCTCGAACGCTTGGAATGTGAACTCGCTAACCACCCCAAAATTGTGCCCTGCGCCCCTGATCGCTCAGAAGAGCTCCGGGTTTTCCTCCGCCGATACAATCAGTATGTGGCTATCTGCCAAAACCAGCTTGACACGTAGCAGGTTGTCGACTACCAGCCCATACCGGCGACTCAGCCAGCCATAACCGCCACCTAGGGTCAGTCCGCCGACACCCGTGTGATTCACAACGCCTCCAACAGTTGCCAAGCCGTGTGATCCTGCCTCCTGGTCAACGTCCTGCCATAGAGCGCTACCTTGAGTGGTCACAGTGCGCTTTACAGGATCTACTGTGACCCAACGCATCCTGGAGAGGCTAATCAATACCCCACCTTGCGACGATCCCGCCCCGGAAGTGGAATGGCCGCCTCCTACGATGGCAAGGTCAAGTCCGTATTTTTGGACAAAGCTAATAGTCTTCGCAATGTCCTCCTCAATCCCGGGCACAACGACGAGGCTCTAACAAGACAGTTAATCAGTAGCAATGCCACGATGGAGAAGAGAAGGAATACCATACCGCCTACTTCTCTGCTGTGTCCGACCAGCGTTCCATTGCAGCATGATACTCCTGTGAGTTGGGCGTCAGGACCCTGGAGTCAGACAGCTGCTCTTCCAACTCTCTCAACATCCCAGCGTTGATATTCGGGGAGCCGGTTCTCTCGAGTATAGTGCCCATTGTATTGCTATGTGCTGAGTTAAACAGCTGACTATATGGGAAATGTAATAGCAAAGGAAAACCTATATTCCCATAGGCCTGGGCCACGGTGACTGATAAATGCTCTTGGATGGATTGAGACAATGTAGTTATTCGCTTTGTCCAGCACCACAGGATCATAGACAGTATGCTTCAGTCGACTTCTCATTCCAAAAGTAGTATAGCAAATGAAGTCATATACTCCCGAGCATATCTCATTGGTCTAGCGTTCCTGTTCTGGACTCTCTCGTAAACAAACTATTACGATTGTGCACAGTTTGATATGGTTTGTCTTTATTGAAAGGGATATTAAATCCAGTCTCAATATCTGCAAGGTCGAGATTGCGCTCCCTTGCCTTTTGCCGGACAAACTTTCTTGAGCATCTTTTTATGCAATAGTACAACTGATGCTGGATTTTGTTGCGTTGACGTCGAAAATTCGTCCTACTGATATAGTGCTATCTGATCAATATACAACTCAGACCTTCCGGTCAAATTATCACTGAGATTTATAGCATGACTGGTGTATTTTGCATCTTGTAATAAGAATTGCAAGGTTCTATTGGAGGCTGGGCGTAATATCCATGATCACATGGCGCGGAAGAAAACGAATCACTGACTTTGACCCCACAATCGATGATGTGGACTAGATTTATAATGTATTGTAATGTATTGTAAGATAGTGAGGAGAACAACAACCGTTCTCTATTTGTCGAATTGTTAATACTCCCAACGCTTTCATGACATCGCTAAGTACATTAAAAAAAGTCTCCCTAGCTACAGCGGAAGATCCGTGGCAATCAATCACGTAAGTGTTTAAATCAAGATACCGCTCTAGATTCTTTGAAGTACGAGCTAATTTATGATGATCAGCGGGTTCCGGAGTACTGTGGGGCCATCGATCTATATGACCGTGATTTTTCCTTTCTGGCGTTCCAAGGATTTTTCCTAAAAAAAAAAATAATGATTGATCGCAGATGACATATGCTGCCGGCTGTGCCCAGGGGAGGTCGTATGGTGATTTGAATCTTGATACCCTTGGCGACTTGAGTTCGAATACCTGTGGTCAAATCAGATGGCTCACTACAAGAGAAAGACAACCATGTAGACAGCCCACGGGATAAAAACTCAAGGATTTTAGCATGGGAGATCATATTGATCTAAGAACATGTGGCTCACGCATCGTTAATAAATTTATTCTCAAGCACCCGGTCCAGCGCCAATCGATATCTTTCAGTATGATTGATTGATTGATTCATTCTTTCTTTCGGTGTGACCCTTTCAGTAGGGATGTTCAATCATGCTAGCAGATTCCATGTTGAACTTCTTTATGTGAGATCATTACATGTATGATGATCATGATGCTATATTAGATCTTTCCTTCTTCATGTGACCTACGCATAGGACATAGGCTCCTGACAGCATGAACTATATTCTGATCCTTGTGGAGATTGAATTACCTGTTAGATCGAAATGAATGAAACCCGTCCACGGGAATTACCAAAGGCAAGCACACTACCCTTCAATGCCAGGAATGTTTTCCGGTATTCTGTGGGAAGCCATAGCCTTCTTTCACCTTCATAATATATCCACTGGGTGTCTTGAATGGATACACCAAAGTTCCGTTCAGACCAAACAAAACCAGAATGATTGTCAAGGGATTGAGACAATCTATCAGAGCCAAGATCCCAAAGTATGGTAGTCATATCACAAGAACAAGATGCTAGCAGTTTACCGTCGGGTGAGAAAACAACAGAGCTGACTGAGGCACTGTGACCTTCAAGACTTTTGCGAAGGTTTCCTGTATCAAGATCCCAGAGATTAACAGTATGGTCATGATCATCAGAGCCAGATGCCAGAATAAGACCATCAGGTGAAAAGTTGATGCAGGTAATTTTGTTCGTATGGTGCGTCAGATTATAGACAAGAGTGCCTAATCTGGAATCCCAGACTTTGATGGTTTTATCATGAGAGCCAGATGATAGAAACCTGGTATTAGGCGAGAATGTGACAATGTTAATTTGATCACAATGGCCGGACAGGTTATGGTATAAAATGCTCTGCTCTGGTTTGCGGGCATCAAGAAGCCAGATTGCAACAGTTCGATCATGAGAGCCAGATGCTAATAGATGACCAGTAGGCGAGAAAGCAATTGAGTTAACCGAACCAGAATGCCCCTCTAGAGAATGAAGAAGGTTACCTGTGTCAGCATTCCAGAGCTTAACAGATCTATCACAAGAGCCAGATGCTAGCAAATGGCTGTCAGGACCAGGTGCGAAAGCAATAGAGTTAACTTGATCAGAATGGCCCTTTAGTATATGACATAACTCTCCTGTACTAGGATCCCATATCTTAACATTCTGGTCGTAAGCACAGGATGCAAGTCTATGACCGGTAGACGAGAAAGTTAGAGTGGAAAGATTGCCAACATGGTCACTTTGAGAGGGCTCGTCCCGCTCAATCATACCGAGGTGCCATAGCTTGATGGACTTATCATCGGAGCCAGATGCTAGTAGTTGGGTATCGCAATTGGGTGAGAAAAAAACTGAGTTGACAGGCTCGGAGTGGAGATTGAGTGTCCAATACAGTTCGCCAGTGCAGTAATCCCAGATTTTAATGGTCTTATCCTGAGAGCCAGAAACCAATAGCTGAGTGTCAAGACTAGATGAGAAGCCAACAGAGCTGACCTTCTGAGAATGACCAGGGAGTGTGTGACGTAGCTCGCCTGTACTGTAATCCCAAATTTTAATGGTCTTATCCTGAGAGCCAGATGCCAAAAGCTGAGTATCAGAGCTAGGCAAAAAAGCCACCGATGTAACATGACTCTTATGGCCCCTGAGAATTTTGACAATGCTGTCTATGTTGTAATCCCAAAGTACAATAGTCGAATCACGAGAGCCGACTGCTAGCAGCTGGAACTTGGGGTTAGGCGAAAAGGCTGCAGAAATGACATGATGGCCTTTGAGTTGCGTATGTGACCGAAACGTCCTGTAATTCCAGATTTTAACAACCTTCTGATCACCGAAGCCAGATGCTAATAGCGGAGGATCAGGAATAGGCGAGAATGCGACAGATGTAACAGAACCCAAATTTTCCACAAACGTATGGGTCGGAGACCCTGTTCTAGAAGCCCAGAGTATGATGGTCTTATCAGCAGATCCAGATGCTAAAAGCTCACCATCAGGCGAAAAGGCGACAGTGTTGACAGAACCAGTATGTCTCTCGCGACTCCAACGTAGCTCGCCTGTATGAGGATCCCACATCTTCACTGTGTAATCGTGAGCGCCAGATGCTAGTAGTTGAGTATGAAGACCGGGGGAAATAGCAATAGAAGTGATCCAATGGCCGTGGCCCTCCAAAGTTTGTAGCTCTGTATTCCATGTCCCCTCCACTTTTCTTAGCTTGTACAGATCGGTGTCAAATGTTCTTTTCAGAATAGAGCTCTTGGGACAAAACATGAGCCCTGAAGAATACATCTGAAGAGGTGCAGTCTCATACAGGGGTCGATTCTTGAGGACTAGTCGATTGGCATCAAGGAGGAATTTTGATATTTCTGTACCCTTCTAATCCTTTCGTCAGTATGTATACCACACAGATAGAAAAATAGATCGGCCTCTTACTCGGTCACTTAAGAATGAGCATATCTCCCTGACTGCTCTCGCAGCTTCAGATGTCTTTCTCAAAACGCTCATTGCCTCCAGCCAATAGAGGAAATAGCCTTTAAGAAATGGCAAGAGCTTGACTGACTCGATCCCCTGGCTCCCGCTATGTATCAGGTGCTGTATCCAGTAACAACAGGCATATTCCACTTCAGGAGCAAGAAAAGTTTCCTTCATCTCGCTAATAAGAACACCCGAGTTCACGCAACCACAGATGTTTTGCTTCAGGTTTCCACGCATGACTCGTATGCAGTGCCCTGCCATCTCCTTATGAGTCTCCTCATAATTGACATAAAATCTCGACTTCCCAGATCTCTCTTCATTAAACAGAAATTCGGAGAGGCAAGTGTGATGTATGCGGAGAGATCTGGAGCCGTCTTCCGGAAGATCAATGATGGCACGATAGTACTCCATGATATCGCGCACATTTTCAGTTCGTCGTCCAAGCAATTTGCTCAAGGATCCCAAAGAAAGTGAAGAAAATAACACCATGATACTGCCAAGTAACGGTTTTATCTCAGCGTACAATCTTTTCCTCGCCGCATCATTGTTACCGCGAATGGAGGATTTAAGCACGGTTAAATATATCTTGTCCAATTCTTTCACGGTCTCAGAATCCCCGTGGTTGTCAAGAATATCTTTCAGTCGTTGTGGGATACCCAGTTTGTGATAGTCTGAATGACCAATGTAACGACTAGCAGTTGCAGCAGAGAGGAACGAGCCCCCGGCTGTCTTCGCCAGGGCGTTGATTTCTGTCTCAGCTAAGGAAGGTAAACTGCCCTTGAGAAACGTCTGAATATCTCCTTCTACAGACAAGCTCTGTAGATCACACCGTCGAGTCTCAGGAGTAAATGAGATGTTTCTTTCATGTCTGCTCGTGACAAGAAACCGCAGACGGGCTTGGTTAAACCCGGAAGTAGATTTGATGACGTTAAGAACATTTTGTATGTCCTCATCATGACACTCATCAAGTGCATCAATCACAATGAGAAGTAGGGTTGTAGACTTGGTGTCTAGCCTTGATAAGGGATCCAGGATAAGCAATTCCCATTGATACCGCAGGGATAGGTTGGAGATTTCTGGACCGAACATAGAGTTTTCAAGCTGGGTTTTAAATTGTGGAAATCGCTCAAGTTGCTTGGCAATTGTGGTGACAAATAATTTTGCATGAGAAACGTCGGGTTTGTCCCGTGAGAAAAAAAAGGTCGCAGTCCAGAGTGGTTTCTGGTCCTCTTTCTTGTAGTAGTGTCGGGCAATCTCTCTTGCAATAGTGGATTTGCCAGCGCCAGCAAAGCCATGTAACCAGAAAACGTGTCCTTCTTCTCCATGAATCCATTGATGAATATCGCCCAAGACCTGAACGCGTGTGTTTTCATAGCAACCTGGGAGATCATTGCTAGAAGCATTGAATAGGGCATCTTTGGCGAGTAATAATAGTTCACTACGGGCGTGCGCACACGAGGGGTATGTGATTATATTTCCCATGTGGACGCTGGCCTGTGCTCCATCCATTTTTACGTCATTCTTGAATATAGAACCATGTTGGTCGGTTTGATTCATTGTGGCTGAAAAGCTGATCATCCAAAGTTTTGAGAGGAAAACGGTGGAAAAACTTTCCGTGTACCAGCTCTGCTTGATATTTGATCCAGTTGGGCAGACAAACAGGCGCGTTGCTACCTGATCTCGCCTTGTGCAGATAATGCACAGGTTTCATTGGTTAGATGTAGAAGAGGACAAGACTGAATGGCCTTGACCCCGCTCCGATCCATTACCTCTATTACTTTACTTTTAAGCGGCAACTCAGACTAGGTTATTCGAATCGAAGTTCGTTTCGCGACGTCTACTACTCTACTATGGCACTCCACACCGTTAATCCTATGACTAGTATGCACCCTTCGTGCCGTGAGGACTTCAGGATCGCAATTATCTGTGCCCTTCCCATCGAATATGATGCGATATCTCTTGTCTTCGATCAGTTCTGGGATGGGTCTGGCGATAAATTTGGCAAGTTGCCTGAAGACCCAAACAACTATACAACGGGTCGAATCGGAAACCACAATGTTGTGCTAGCTATGCTCTCTCACATTGGCAAAGCCAGTGCCGCAAGTGTTATTGCCAGCATCTGCAGGAGCTATGTCAACATCCGGCTAGCAATAGTTACTGGAATATGTGGCGGCGTCCCGCTGGGCGGCAGGGACGGGTCCCAGGAAATGCTTCTGGGCGATGTAGTGATTAGCAACATTGTTGTGCAGCATGATTTTGGGAAGCGCTACCCCGATCGTTTTCATCGCAAAGATACTATTCAAAGCGATTTAAACAAGCCAAGCAAGGAGTTACGGAGCCTTTTACTTGCCGTCACGACTGAAACGGGACTTGAGCGGCTTCAACAAAGAACGAATGATTTCCTTCAAGAACTACAAGCAACCGCTGTTCGAAAGAATCGTCGTACCCAGTATACATATCCCGGTAAAGCAGAAGATCGGCCTTTTGAGGCAGACTACCGACATATGCACCACAACTCACCATCATGCATATGTCGTGAGTGGAGCATAAATTCGGACCCTGTCTGTGTTGATGCCCCTTTTCTAACTTGTGATGACCTTGGATGTGAGAAAGCACATCTAATTCCTCGGAAAAGATTACAAAGTTCAGAACCAGGCATTAAGGGACCCCCAATGCCTGCTATACATTTTGGGCCTATTGCTTCGGGAGATACAGTGATGAAAAGTGGGGTAGAAAGAGATATCATCGCCAAAAGAGAAGAAGTGATCGCCTTTGAGATGGAAAGTGCTGGGATTTGGGAAGAGGTGCCATCCATCGTGGTCAAGGGGGTATGCGATTACTCTGACTGCCATAAAAACAAAAATTGGCAAACTTTTGCAGCTGCCACCGCGGCTTCTGCAGTCAAAGCAGTACTAGAGCGATACAGCCCTAGAGAAAAGGCCCCTCCAAATCACAAATCCCCCCAGAAACCAACTATTGCACCGACTGTTCGACAAGATGGGTCCCGGTTCGTTTCTCATGTGGAGGGGAAAGAAATCAAGCAAGGCAACCAGATGAAAATCTCGTCGCAAGAGTCCAGAAATTATGCTCAAGGAGGCTCTTTCTTTGGAGGGAGTACTAAGAGTGAATCCTCTGTCACACAGGGTAATACGATGACCTTTTAGAATACTTGCATTGTTTTTGCATGATGAACCAGGGATGCATCTGCTATATTTCTTTTATCTGGCAAAGCCATTTGGTCGTGAGATTCACAAAATCAAGAAATGTCAGTATACGAATACTGAAACTGAGTCATTTGCTACATGTTTGCATGTTTTTGTTTGTAATTTATTTGTCAAAAATCCCTGCTCAATTGCCAGAGTCAGGGATACTGTACAGGTAGAGATTCATACAGTTCTGATTGGCCAAGGACATCCTTTACTCGACAAGAAACAAAAGCCTGGCCTTTCGGTCAGCAGCTCAACCCAATCGCGTAAAAAATTGAAAACTCTGCTTTTGCGCCATGTGCCTCTCTGATTATCGACAATAGCGCCAATCCAGCCACGAGAGGAGTATTCGCGATTGATAGTAGCTATACCCTAGATAGAGAGTTGAGGCACACCCCGGGCACTCTTACTAGGACAGATGGAGCGGTTTCTGCGTAAAATGAGGTACGAAGGTGGTGCGTCTGAGAGCGTCAGTGGTTGCCTGACGTGGCGAACACGATGAGCTTCCAATGTCACCGGGCTGTGTGGAATGGGCTAGGCACTGTTTGTGATACTGCGCTATCATTGGTACTTATGCCCCCTTGCTTTTTCGGGACAAATTTGAGCCTCTGTCATCGGTCGCTTTGTTCAAATGTTTCTTTTACCCCTGAAAATTATCCTACACTTTTTCAACAGGCAGTATTCAACCATGGCAAATTTTCTACTTCTGTTGCTTTTCAATGTGACGGTTGTTCTAGCGCAATGCTATTCGGGTGGGGGCAGCCACGTCGTATATCAGTTAATGCATGTTGCTCACTATTGTCAGCCCCTGTCAGTATCGACGATCCGATTGCAGACGATACAATCGACACCGAGTACTTCCAAGCCAATTTGCGCTATGAAGGAGCTAGAAAACTCGAATATATATGCCATGACAGATACAAAATCGAGCTGTACCGCAAATATTCAGATAATCAGCAATACCCCAAGCCCTTTTACAGCAGAACTATTACAGCCCCGGCAAGAATTCTTGAGATCCCTCCATCAAGGCTGAATCGCATAAAACCCGAAGCGGAGTGGGAGGTTGATTTCGTTTTCTGGACTCTGGACTTGGAAGGCGATACGACAAAGTTGTCGGTTATCCCTTTCACCTTGAGTGCCCCAGCCGCTACGTCTACTTCCGATATATACAGCGATACGAGTATGGACACCGGCTTTCCAGTCAGCCAAACAACAACGGAAGCCAGCGCTTCAATTAGCCAGATGACAACGGGAGCCAGCAAGTATCTCCCAGAACAGACCACATTGCCAGAAGAAAAGATGAGAAACGAAGAAGCCGGTAGCGGTGGTCTATCAGATGGAGCGAAAGCTGGCATAGGTGTCGGGGTCAGTGTGGGCGTTTTGCTTTTACTCGGCGGAGCATTCTTCTGGTTCTTGGCTTGGAAAAGGAAACCAAGTAACAAAGATGAAACAAATGATGCCTCTTAGTCACTTGTCTTTTTGTTATACTGAATGTATGAGACACGAAATGAAATTTAGAAATTTTTTCGATCCTAATTTTCCCAGAGTGAGGAACAACTATCAATTTATGGACGATGTAACACGACCAACTTCCCAACACCCCTATGTAGAGTATCTAACAGCAGGCAAATTTGTATTTCCCACGAGCGCCCTACTTTCAATGACGGCAGGCACATTTCAGGAACAACCAGCCCACCCATTGATGCTGGTTATCTGACCTGGCCCCGTCGGACTGGTATTATCGGGGAATTAAGGTTCCAAGTGAGATTTCCTGCCTTTACGTAGGAAGTGATTTCACTGCAGGGTGGCCTAATAGCACATTGCCACACGAACATACATATGGACCCCGCAGTCCTCGTGAAACTGTTCTCAAATTCTCAACGCAAGATCTTTTGCGGCTTGTGAAACTTCTTTTTTTAAAAAAAGCACATCAAGTCCTAATTTTAATGGTGATTCACTGCGACCTTTTACATTAGTGAGACTGGCTAACATCATTCAGGCTAATCAACCAATGTGCCGCCCGGGTCGCAGACTGGGTAATGGCTCCATGTACGCGGCTCCCTCATCATATAAAATGTGTTAATACCAACTATGAATCTCTTCCCAGGACCCTGCCGATATGCGAATCCATGGGCCAAAAATATTCCAATGCCTCCGCACCAGAAATCAATCAGGAGGGGTCGAAGTTCTCAAGAAAAATCCATCTGCGGAAAGGCGGTGCAGTTCATGCAGGTAACAAAAGTCACCTGAGCGGTATATCAGCCAAAGTTCAACAGGGTGGCTCGGAATATGCAGCAGAGATCAACGGAGATGAAGAAGTGGTGGTAGAAGAGGGCAATAAGGTCGAATGTCAAAATTCCGAGACAGCTTTAGATAAAGCCACCAAGGGTTCTTCTTAACACGAACCAGCAATGATCAGACGACCCCTCACTACTCGTATTCAATGCAAAATTAGCTGAAATGTACGTTACAATCTATCGACAAGAGTCGAATCTAAGGTAGAAAAGCACTATCTATGGAGGAGAACTTGATCAAGAACGGAGAGAGAGCGAGAGAGAAGAAGGAAGAGGGAGAGAGGTATCTAACTAAACTACCGACTAACTAACCATCTACTCAGTAAGGGAGGAAGGTCCGCCCTGATTTGGGTCACCTGACTTCTGACAATCATCCGGTGGGCGAACCAAGAGAAAACCATGCAATCCTTACTGTATAGTATCTCATCTTTCGTTGATCATCCCTTGAAGATCGCATTTTGGGTCAGCCAATCAGATCCGTGATTCTCAGAATCGGATGAGTTTTATAAAATCTGAAAGTCATTGCACTCAAACCAAACCCAAAGAGCTAGGGAACCGGAGAGGATTCTCATTGATGCGGCCAGGGGGACACTCCTGCAATTTTCACTGCGCCGCCCAGGCCAAGAGGCCGTCAAATCATAGTGATCGTGACAACGCACCTACAGGAAAGACAGGACACCACAGAGAGGCGCAGTGGCAGATCGGCGCTTCAGGTAGGGCAAGGGGGCTTTAATATCACCACATGACTATACCGCTTTGTTTTCGAGCAGCTGAGCGAAAGACCCGCAGAGACCGTGTACCTTATGCGGACGATAGCCCAGGAAATAAAAAGCGAAAGCCCTTGCGTTCGCTTGTAAGGTCCCAGATTGGAAGTTTGGCCCAGTTCAGATAATGTCATGATTGCTGCAGCGTAAGTCTTCGCCAATTGTCGCTCTAGAAAAGGTCGAGAAATATGTGAAAGGTAATAAGGAGACGGACTAGCGACAGAAGTGGCTCTTGGGCTAAGGGAACGATTACTATAGGCAAAGTTCCGGTAATTGTACAACTTATCGATACAGTCTATGTGTGTGGACCCCGTGACTGGCATTAATTACATAAATTTCGCCTGTATTCCAATTACACACTGATTTTTACTGAAACATTGCAAGTTTACTAAAAGATTTTGGTCGAAAATGGCGGTGTGTGTAGGCGCATGTGTTCAGCATACCTAATGTATCTGTCAGGGTCCATGTATGGCCCATACCTAGTTTTAAATGAGTCATTTTCGAATGGGAGCCTACGCCATTGGTGAAAACTTGACAAGTCACCATGTATGCATGATTATCCGCCAATGGAAAATGGTTCTGCATATATGTATGCATTGATGGTCCACAAATCTTTCTTTAGGCTCTCTCACTTCGGTATAGCGCAAGTGCACTTGAGAGGTTCGTCGCTCTCTGATGAGCCCACCCCCCTGGAGCAATATCTCAAAACCTGCGTTTAGACCCAATTATAGAGCACTGAATCTTGGCTCGGCGGTCTGCGCGGTAATCGCACCGGCCTACAGGACTTTCACCCAGCTTTCACCCAAATTATCACCCTGTCTATATCGCACTAACCCTTCTCACCCCTGATTGCGAGACGAGAAGGCGGCGCTCACCCTATGCTCACCCTGGTGATACCCACCCGATTCCTGGCTACGGTTAAGCCGCACGCCGAATGGCCATGCTGGCCAATGATATGGTCTAGCCTAGTGGGGAAACAGCCGGTCGCCGCTTTGTGGTCGCGCGACCAAGGGTAAGAGGGGTGAGTGCGTAATAGAAGGGGTGACACTCTAGCTAAGAGTCACCACTGGTCGCGCGATCGCCAATCTCGTTACCGGTCGGTCGTATACATGAAAAGAGAGTGGCCAGAGTACTTACCAATAGAGGTAATGAAGACCAATGAAACCTATTTCTTTTTCTACGATGCCACGATACAGCTTGGACGTATCGGAATATCGCCCTTTCCGGAAAGAATAGACGATGCTGTATACGAATTTGATAGATTTTATCGGGAGGCTCGGGCATATAACCATATTGACTTATACTGTTCCGCCCGCGAAAGAATCTATTTTCCGCAATTCCATGGGGCAGTCACCAACATGCAAAAATCTCGATTCTCCTCTGGATATTACCACAAGCGAGCGGTCATAATAGAAGCAATAAGACCGGAGTTGTGCTCTCGACGTATTCTTAGCGAAGACGTCGATCACCTGTCTAAAGACTTCTCAACTATCCTCGAAGTGGTATCTGAAAAGTTTTACACTTCTCCGGAGATGGTCTCGCTAAGTCCATTTGAACAGGAGTGGTATCATTCTTTACTCAAAGACCGACTTCGTCGCCTGGATGCTTTATATCGAATTGGAATAACCCATGGCGACATTCATGATTTTCACTTTCGACTTCCTAATGACATTTACGACACTGTTCTATACGATTTCTCCGAATCGTACACATTTTCTAACAAGCAGCCTGTTCGGGTGGATTCCGGAAAACCTCGGCCTTTAAGCCTTGTATCCGCGGGTGAACGTGAACGTGTCCTTCTACATATCCACAATCGGTAAGAAAGAAGACTTCATCACTTATATCATGGCTAACGTACGGTTAGAGCCACTTCACGGGATCTTCATTCCCATCTCATGGGTGCAAACCCTAAAGCTCCAATTGACAACGCACTCTGGGAGTCTCTCAAAAATGAGGATGAATTGTTAGAGCTGATTATGCTAAAAGTCTCCTATCGCCCGGATAGTCAGTAATTATTGAGTCGTTCCCACATTTGAGATAGTAAGTACTAACTACTGCAGGCTTTTCAATGCCGACATTGAATTCCATTTTTCCTTTCCTGGAAGCCGTGTGCCCAAAAGCTGACCTCTGCTGGCATATTCGTCGAGGCAGGCTTTTATGTCACTATGAGTCAGTCTGGGCAGTCATTTACGAAGATAAAGCCCAGCCCCAATCAATAATCTTTGATTGTGAACCGCAATTTGGGACAACAGAGAAGATGGGGACCCCTCGCTTTATACTTTGTTTGGTACCAAACTCGTGGATTGTGCCATTGAGAACGAAACCTGATTTCGCCTCACTTTGTAAGCTACGGAAATTTTGCTCACATCTTCTTTCAACAAAGACTCCGGGGGCAATTATAAAACGAGCTGAACTCTTTTGAAACATTCTAAGAAGAGAAGCGGTGGATAGATATGGATAATCAAAGTGCCTTACGAAATTAATGTATTGTGAAACGTGCCCGGACATGTTCCTTTATTATGTCATCTATTCTTATTCATACCACGTAGTCGACGGTAGATTTCCTAGCAGTACATGACATCTTGTATTTCAGCATTGGGATAAAGTATTCTCTTTGTTTCTGGGGAGCAGTGATACGAAAGGTCACCTATACGAGTTTTTGAATATTCTCAGATATCACTTATTTTGTAGTTAGAGAATACGGATGGTCGATTGTCTAGGTACCTCGCGGCTGTTTCACCACACAGGGTGTTTCATATCACCAGGATGGGGGTTAGAGGGGGAAAGAGAGGGAAAATTGCGTCAACAAGTGGAGGGGACGGCGAGTGGCGGTATATAGATGGATGGCAGATGGCTGGGCGGTAAAAGCGGCAAGGGACGGGGCAAAACCTAAACGAGGGCAGGGTGAGGGCGCCAAACCCGAAAGGGCTAGGTGATGGTGGAGACGGGCAGGCGGTAACTAATACTATAATCACTCCACATATTAGTTATTATGTTATTTACTGTTTGTAGAACAGAAGGCTATCCAGAGCAGGTAATTAATTAGATATAAAATTCGACCCATTTGTCTTTGTTAAAAACCTAGCGGGAATTGGTTCACTGACTCTGGGAGATGAAACATGGAACTTTCACAGAAATGTTCTCGACCCTAACGATAGTATTTGGCATAATGAAAGGCTTGTCTGTTCTGGCGAAATGTAGCTCGCAGAGCGTTCGTTCCCGCTTCTTGTCACATGACTATCACTTGTGACTACATGGCCAGCTTAGTCCTACCACGTGACCCCTGGTTATCATCCTCTCGTTGCGGCATAAACAAACCACTCCCAATATCCCAATACGAACATTTTGGTGCACGTCCATGGCATCTGGCATCACCCCCACCAGGGAGTGTCCCTGAGGCCCCTCTTACACCACCGTCTACGGAACAGAAACCTTTATCGAGAAGTGCACGAAGCGTGGTCACTTGTTTGCGGCTCCATCGTGCAAATCACCGGCCAAGCTCTTGGTGGGAGCGTCGACTCAGACCAGACGACTATACAGAGGTCTTGCGTGTGCTTCATTCTGATGAAAATCTCCGCAACTACGTGGAAGACAAAATACGGTAGGTACTGCGACCTTTTTCGACATTGAAAAGCAGATGTGTCTAATTATTACAGATACGATTACGATCCCTGTCGCTACTGTCTGACAATCCGAATGCCAAGCCTTGTTCATGATACGTTTTGCGCAAGAATAGTGGATGAAATAATCAAACAATTGAGACAATTCCAGGAAACTGACGGACCTCTCGCCGATTTCGCAAAGCAGGTCGAGCATTTTGCCACATCCCGAATTTTCATACCTGAAGACACGCACGATGTAAGTATATCTGTGAGAGGACATCGCTTTGGGAAGTACCCTTGAAGCAGAAAACGCAACGTAAACATAAAACCCTAAGCATAATATGTACGCATCCATATCTAGCTCCTTCGTTCCTATATGACTGGGGATACGCGCTGCGTACGCATTTGCCCTGAAACGAGACAAGAGAAAAGGAGAGCACATGAGGGGATGGGCGTAACGCAGCGTCAACCCCGCCTTTGATTCAGCCTGGCGCAGACCCTTAGTTTGTACCCCTTCACTCTACTCCGCGTTATCAGTATTCCTGTACAGTGATTTTTACCATATTTTATGTCTGCCACTATATGACGTTATGTATCATTTCCATAACTATGGGCAAGTTATGATTAGAATTTTCCCCATAGAAGCGTCACCAATGCGACAAAAAAGCCACCAACAGTCCATGCTATATTCCAACCGAAAAGGAACTTAGCAACAACAACCACTGCTAGAAATATAATGACTACCAAAGGCGTCCTCTGTGTATCGAAGGTCCAGCCCTCGCGGATTACTAATCCCCTGAATTTGAGCTCTACCAAACCCGGACAGTGCCAACTATGCCAACCGTTGAATTGGCTCAGGACGTCCCTATTATGTATGATCAGTGGTTGCATCTTCTAATGTTCTTGTTTTATCTCTTACCAATGGCTCAAGGCTAGATTTTCTTTTTCGAAAAAGTCATTTGAAGCCGCGAGGACAGGATTGGACAAGACATGTCTCATTAAGGCACGTGCATTCAACAGTGAAAGATTCCGCCTAGCGTCACGAAGAAGTTTTACTGTGCATTCCTCAGCCTCATCGTAACCAGGCAAGCAATCCCAGCATTCGCAATCGAAGGCACAATCCACACTTCCCGTGTCTTCATGGTAAATAATGCGGGTTAACCAACTGCCCAGCAGAATGTGACCATGTGAGACATGAGCGATGTACTGTGGCCCCTGCAGAGAACAATAATCTTTTCCAATTCATCGTCTTTTACAACACCCACACTTAATCTTAGTCTCTTTTTGGCTGATCTCCTTAGTGATGAGCAGGCCAGAGTATTGGTCGAAATCCTTTACAGCAACGTGACAAGCCACTTGGCATTGCTTCGCATGGAATATATTGTGTGCTTCTTCTGGCTCATTTGTCTGAAAATTTGTCTTATCGATCTCGGCAACGCATAACCATGCATTGGTTCACTGGTACTAAGATGTGGGTGGATGCAAGGTACGAGGAAACAATCGCCTTGAGCTCTGGATTATGAAGACTATGGAATACTAACGACACGCCGAGCGATAGAGCCAAAAAATCTTTCCATCCGCTGAATTCCCCACGAGACAAAAGCGGGCCAATGATTACATGGAAGCTGGTTCTGCAGAACGAAGCGCATACAACAACTTCCCATCACCTGGGCCGCAGACTACCGTACTCCGGTGTCAGCTTTGCCATGGCCGCCGATCATCTTTCTACCATCGCAACCACTCCAGCGATCCAATAAGCTTTCCTCCACAAGGGATTTGCTCGCGGAGGCGGACCCAATGTGCGGCGAATAAAGCTAAGCTCCAAGTATCTCGTGGGATGCTTCCTGTGATACATGAACTGCCGGCGGATGAGATGGTCAACTACACGGTGGGTTTGCCAACGGGCTTCTTCGCGAGCTCACCATTGAGCTGACACTAGGTTGACCAAAGAAGAAATACTCACCTTGAGGGCAAATGAAGCGGATCCGAACCGTGTTTGGTTTTTCTCTTTCTAAACTTTGGTTTTTTTTTCCTTTTGTACACTGGACAGGGTTACTAGAAGTTCACAACTCGGTGATTGTGATGGTGGGTTTTCTGCGAGCCTGGGCCAATTTATTTTCGACCCACTTCGAGTGGTTGCTCATTTGAACACTTTCGGTTTGCGTGCCAACTCTCCTGGATAAAGAGTGCAGTAGCTTCTTGCTGTCTGTGGGATATTGTCGTAGCTGGTGTGTTTCTTCATTCTCGCCCGGAGTTCCTGGTGGTGGCTGGCGGTGGTCTCTCTCTATTCCCGAAAGGGAAGATTGTGCGACAGCTTTCTCAATTTTTGGAGGTCGGTCTCGCATTCTCCATCATAAAACTACTCCGCACCTATTAGTGGAATCTGACTCGCTAGCAAGGCTGAGGTGGTCATCCATCAACAAATATCACATTCCAATCTCATCTAACTTGCCATTCCACCAGCATGCATGAGTACAGGTCACGTACATTGTAAAAAAGGCCCAGGATTATACACAAAATCCTCCACAGTAAAAGAAAAAAACCTATAATAACAAGAACTGAAATTTGACATAGGATATCATGCACCAATGAAACCTCCGCGCGTGTGTCTGGAACTTGGTTCTAGGTTACCAGGTAGCTCTTGACGTTGTCCAGTATTGGTCTGAAGCTCATTGCAAATGGCAGAAGGACCTGGTAATTCGCTCCGTGCTTTGCTACCCGTTTTTGAATCAGTGGAGCCAAACCCAGTATAAGATCCGAATACCGTATTTGAATCTTTAGGCGCTGCGGAAGCACTTTCAGGATTGTTCCGTGGTCTTGAGAGAAGACGCTGCATGAACCATATTATTCCCACGATTATAAGAGCACCAAAAAAGCCTCCGAGGGTGGCACCAGCGATTAGACCTTTATCTGTGGAGGACCTTGCTGCTGAATTTGTTGGTTCTGGGGAGCCTGTTTACGTGTCAGTTGTGAAAGGCAGAGCTGCAGAGGCGGTCAAAAAAAGAGACGGGACGATAGCGTACTTGAACACGTGCCTGTCTGGGTCGCACTGGTCCATGTATTGTTCTTGTTTATGGCCGTCTTCGTCGCACAACCATACCAGTAACGTCCATTTGTGAAGCCTGTTAGCTGCGGCTCGCAGCAGAAGTATCCCTTTGCCCACCAGAGAGTCCAAGTCGAATTGGCGCATTGCGCCGGAACTACCCCAGACCCAGTATTGGTATCAGGACACTGTGAGTTGGCCCCGTATTGTTCAGGCTCAGATAAACCTTCTGGGCAACAGCTGTACCAGTTGTCCCAGGTCTTAAAGCCTGGAAATTGCCCGCAAGAATTTTCTCGGCGGACTGGGTAGCCACCTTGGACTGTTGACGACATTTTATTTTTGTAATAGCGCCAGGTCGAGTCGAAGGATACCGAAATGGATAATGAAAAGACGAGGGACTCTTTTCAGTCCTAAAAGGAGGATCCAAGGGGTCAGCAGGGAAAAAGAGTTCTTGACCTCTGAGGCTTTTAAGTCTCTGTTGTAATCGTGAGAGTGGGCCCTCTTGCATGACAGTAGGCGGTTAGGCATGGTGGTATCCACCATCTATAGAAAGGATTTGCAAGCTGGTCATAATCACTACACCAGGCCAGGATC